CACTCTGTCACCCAGGCTGGAGTGCAGTGGCATGCTCACAGCCACTGCAGCCTCCACCTGTTGGACTCAAGTGATCCTTCTGCTTCAGCCTTCCAAATAGCTGGAACCACAGGCGCGTACTACCATGCCCGGCTAATTTTCGGATTTATTGTAGAGATGAAGTCTTGCCAAGTTGCCCAGACTGGTCTCAAACCCCTGAACTTAGTCAGTCCTCTCGCCTCCACCTCCTAAAGTGCTGGAATTAGAGACATGAGCCACTGCGCCCGGCTATACTTGAATGTCTAAAATTGGGAACAATGTCACCTATTCCTGTACTTAAATCTTGTCTGAACCAAACAGCAAGCCTTTCAAACATAGTTTGATCTTAATGTTGTTATTGTTGTTGTTGTTGTTGTTGTTGTTGTTATTCTTGAGATGCATTCTGGCTATGTTGCCTAGGCTGGGCTCAAACTCCTGGACTCAAGCAATCCTCCTGCCTTGGCTGAGATTTCAGGCATGAGTCACCGTGCCTGGCCAATTTTAGTGTTATTTTAGAGTTCAATTTTATGTGTGAAATTCATTAGCATCGGAGACAGAGATAAAGCTAGGGAGCATCACATTTAGAAGGAGAGTGAACGTGTGGGTGGAAAACACCAATTCCCATCTCAGTCCTAATGTCACCTGACCCCGGTCGAGGTGCAGGCCTGGTTCGATCAATTCCTGCCCCTGGAAGAGAAGGGTTTCTTCTCTCCCCCAGGACTGCACTGAGAGCCCAGAAGCCATTATCTCGCAGCGAGGCAGGATGTGGCAGGCTAATAACTGCTTGTGCTTCCTGGACACATTGTTTCCAGGGCCTGGATCCTAAGGCGTCCCACATATTCCCAGGAGCGGGAGAGGCTATTTCTCCTCTGCAGAAATGGAGGGGAAAGGGCCACCTGGAGAGGCCATGAGGCTTTCCACTACCCCTCAGAAAGGCATGACTGAGCAGCCACCGGGAGCCTCGGTGTCCAGCTTTCCCGTCCACTCTGTGTTTCCTGGATGCAGCCCCACCACCTCGCATCACCCCAGACAGCATTGCCTCCTGACTATCCTGTCTCAGAGCTTCCCTGCTGGTCACTGGCTTCTACTCCCAGCTCCTCCAGGCCACGTCTACTTTAGCGTCCGGATTTATCTTCTTTTTAAAAATATATAATTTTTTGTAGAGACGAGGTCTCACCATGTTGCCAAGACTGGTCTTGAACTACTGGGCTCAAACAATCCTCCTTCCTCAGCTTCCCAAAGTGCTGGGATTACAGGTGTGAGCCACCATGCCTGCTAAAAGATATATATATATATGGTTTTGTTTTTTTTTTGAGTTGGAGTCTCACTCTGTCGCCCAGACTGGAGTGCAGTGGCTGCTCCCAGTCACCGCAGCCTCAACCTGCTGGGCTCCAGCAATCCTTCCGCCTCAGCCTTCCGAGTATTGCCAAAATTACAGGCATGCACTACCAGCCCGGCTGATTTTCAATTTATTGTAGAGATGAGGTCTCACCAAGTTGCCCAGGTGGGTCTCGAACCCGCGGGCTCAGACAATCCACTCACCTCAGCCTCCCAAAGGCGCAGGATTACAGGCTGAGCCTCCAAGCTTGGCTATATATATATATATTTTTTTTTTTTAATTTTATTTTGTATCTTTATTTTTTTGAGTTGGGATCTCACTCTGTCACCCAGGCTGGAGTGCAGTGGGGTGCTCATGGCTCACCACAACCTCAATCTCCTGGGCTCAGGCGATTCTTCCGGCTTAGCCTCCCAAGTAGCTGAGACTGACTATAAGCACATGCCACCACAACTGGCTAATTTTTTTGACTTTTTGCAGAGACGAGATTTCACTATGTCGCCTAGGCTGGTCTCGAACTTCTAGGCTCAAAGGATTCTCCCGCCTTGGCCTCCCAAGGTAGAGGGCTTGGGATGACAGGCATAAACCACGGCACCCGGCCACTTGTAGCATCTTGGATTTCTCCTATGGTGCTCAACACAGTCATGACTGTGATGAATAATGTGATTAGTTCAGTTTCTGGAAGCAGAACACAAGCTCTCCAAGCAGGAGAAGGTCATGTCCACCTTGTTTGTTGTTGTGTCTGCAACACTTGACATAGCGTCTGGCCCACAGTAGGCATGCAGTAAAAAATTGGGAACAAAACAGATGATCAACTGGAACAGCAGCATATCCTGGCTTTTGGGATCCTCCTTGGTTCCTGGTAGATGCCTCAGGGCTAAGATGCTTCTATCAGAGACTGAGATAAGCAAGAGAGAACAGGAGTGAGAAGAAAGTAAGAGAAAGGGTGTTGGCTGTACCAGGTGGCTTACACCTGTCATGCCTGCATTTTGGGAAGCTGCAGCAGGAGAATCACTTGAGGCCAGGAGCTCCAGATTAGCCTGGGTAACAGCAAAATCCTTTATCTACAAAAAATAAAAAAATTAACCAGGCATGCTGGGACACGCCTGCTATTCCAGGATGAGGCAGGAGGATGGCTTGAGCCCAAGAGTTCAAGGACGCGGTGAGCCATGATTGTAGCACCGCACTCCAGGCTGGGCCAGAGAGTGAGACCCTGACTCAAAAAAAAAATTCAAAATTGTGATGCATTTTGCAAATGTAACCCACTTATGGCATCCTTTTAATTATTCATAAAACTTCAGGGGTTATTTATAGCTGATGCCATGGCACACATCAACATTAAACTTCTCTTTAGCAAGGAGAGATCAATGCCATTAGGTTGGCTGGGATACGTTGAATGCGTTCACGTTGTGTTTTTCTGTTTTGAGAATAGCCTGATTATTGAAGAGCTGGAAATACCATGTTATTCTGGCAAACCCAGGGGGAAACGTGTGAAGTAATCTGAGATTCCTTCACTGGCCATTCTCAAGCAACCGGAGACCTGGGTGGTCTCAGGCAAACCAGGGAAGTCATGGGATTGTCTTTGATCCCAGTTTATAAGCCCTGAGTCCCTCCTGTGTGCTGGACCTGGGACTGGTGCTGCAGATACATAATGAGCAAGGTAAGCTTGCTCTCTGCCCTCATATCATATCGGCAACAGCTTTAAAGTCTGACAGTTTCTTTCCTTTTGAGTTGAGGTCTCACTCTGTTGCCAAGGCTAACGTGCAGGCTCGAGCCATCCTCCTGCCCCAACCTCCTGAATAGCTGGGACGATAGGCACATACCACCATGCCTGGCTAATTTTTTTATTTTTTGTAGAGACAGGGTCTGCTATGTTGCCCAGGCTGTTCTGGAGCTCCTGGCCTCATGATTCTCCTGTGGCCTCCCAAAGTGCTGAGATTACAGGCATGAACCAGCCACCTGGCACAGCTGGCATGATGACAGCTCACTTCAGTCTCATCCTCTTGGGATCAGGCAGTCTTTCTGCCTCAGCCTCCCAAGTAGCTGAGACTATAGGTATGCACCACCACCTGGCATATATTTTTTTTTTGTAGAGATGAAGTATCACTATATTGCCCAGGTTGGTCTCTAACTCCTGGGCTCGAGCTCCTCCTGTTCCGGCCTCCCAAAGTGGTGGGAATACAGGCCTGAGCCACCACGCCTGACCAGGTTTGACAGTGTCAACTTTGGAGAGATTATGGAGCAGAAATGGTGTAGCAGTAGCTGGTTAAGTTGGAAGTTCACATGCCCATGTGCCTGACAGTGCTCCTTCCAGGCATTCTTCTCAGACGCCTGTATAAAGAGACAAGAGTAAGAAGTTTCCTAGCAGAGGGTGCACAAAACATTGCAGGTAATCGAAATGTCCTTCAACAAGTAACACACAAATGAATATGGTAGAACCACACAAAGGAACCTTATACAGAAGCAAAAATGAAGGAAGAAGAGCTACATATGTGAATATGGGTGAACCCCACAATCAGTATATTGAAGCCCCTCCCCAAAAAGCAAGTTTCAGGACATATAAGGATAATATCGTTTACATGAAGATTTTTGGTTTTGGGTTTTTTTGTTTTGTTTTGTTTGAGACAGGGTCTCACTCTGTCACCCAAGCTGGAGTGCAGTGACCTGATCCCAGCTCACCGCAGCCCCGATCTCCTGGGTTCAGGCCATCCTTCCACCTCAACCTCCGGAGTAGCTGGGACTCCAGGTGCACGCTACCCAGCTAATTTTTTGAGTTGTTGTAGAGATGAGGTCTCGCTGTGTTGCCCAGGCTGGTCTCAAACTCCTAGGCTCAAGCAGTTCTCTTGCCTCAGCCTTCCAAAGTGTCAAGATTACAGGCGTGAGCCACCGCACCCAGCCTATATAGGTCTTAAATATCTCATAATATACTAAAAATAAAGAAGGCATATTGGGATTGTGGCTGCGCGGAGGGAAACAGAGCTCAGGCCAACTTAGCAGAGACAGATAGCGTCAAGGGAGACTTCTTAGATTAAGTGACATTTACTCTAAGACACAAGTAGGAATTAAATGAAGGAAGGGAGGAGGGAGGAAAGATGGAACAGCATGTGGGAAGAGGAAGCTTGGCAGAGGAATGGAAAGAAATTCCACAGGGCTGGAGTACAAAGGGTGGCCAGGGATTTGAATCCTCTCCTAAAGGCAACAGGCATCCGGCACAAGAGCTTCGAGCACGGGAGTTTTGGTCTGGCGATCTCTCCAGCCTCCGTGTAGAGAGAGCTTGGGGGATGAGGATTGGCAGCCGGCAGATGAGCCTGGGGGCTTGTTCAGAGCCGGTGTGGTGGTGGGCATTGGAAGAGCCTGTGGGCAGGTGGGGAGGGTGGACGCACACTTAGGAGACCCACAGGCATGACTAGGGTGATTGCCCCCGGGGCTCTCTGGCCTCTCCTCTTCCTGTGAAAACCACTTACATGCAGCCTCTGAATGTGGACATTTCCGAAAAACAGGTGGATGAAACTGGGTGGGCTTCGTGTTCTGAAGAATGTTTGTGTCTACTAACTACATCCTTTGGAGTCAGGCGGCCCTGGGTTTGATCTCAGCCCTGCCACTTGCTGGCATTGTGACATCGGACCTAGTACTCTCCAAGCCTCAGCTTCATCATCTATTAAATAAAATAGCGCTTCCTGCCAGACATAGTGGCTCACGCCTGTCATCCCAGCACTTTGGGAGGTGGAGGCAAGAGAATTGTCTGAGTCCAAAGGTTCGAGACCAATTTGGGCAACTTGGCCAAACCTCGTGTATACAATAAATCAAAAAATGAGCTGGGCCTGGTGGCACATGCCTGTAATCCCAGCTACTTGGAAGGCTGAGGTGGGAGAATTACCTGAGTCAAGCAGGTCGAGGCTGCGGTGGCTGTGATCGTGCCACTGCACTCCAGCCTGGGCGACAGATAGAGTGAGACTCTGACTCAAAAAATAAAATAAAATAGCGCTTTCTCTTAGCGCATGATAGGAAGATACCATGAACATGAAGCATGCAGCTCATCCCTTGGGAGAGAGTAAGCGACCCATACACGCTTCCTTCCCACGTTCTGCCTGCCAGGTGTTTTCTCAGGCAGTTCTGCATGGTGTGGGGACACCTGTCTGCCTTCCTCCCGTGGACTGTATCCCAGGATTCCTGGTCTCCCCGAGAGCATCTTCTGTCCTTCTTCACTGGCATTTGGAGGTCCAAGCTTTGGCTTGGGACCCACAGTCTGGAATTCCCCTGAGACCCAGCAGGAATGGAGACGTGCACATGGCACAGAGCCAGGTGGGCTGTACTCCCGCCATGAGCCTGGCTTCTGTTCCCTCTCAGGTCCAAGTGGGTTCCCCGTGGCGACTACATTGCGTCCAACACGGATGAGTGCACTGCCACGCTGATGTATGCTGTCAACCTGAAGCAGTCGGGCACCGTGAACTTTGAATATTACTACCCAGATTCCAGTATCATCTTTGAGTTTTTCGTAAGCCCCGGGTTGAGGGGGGAGGGTGTGTCAGGGGAGAGAGTACCTTGCCCTACACCGTGCCAGCCCTCCAGAGGGCCCGTCCTGTGGGGAAGGGGCTTGGGTTCCTTCAGGGACACGGAGGTGAAGACTCAGAGGCTCAGCCTCACTTGCAGGGATCCACGCCAAGTGCAGAACTGCCGGGAAGTCAGGTGTTTTCCCTCTGGAGAGAACTGTGGGCAAAATGAGCTGAGGCACCAGAGGAGAGGAGAGGGTCAGGTGTGGAGGCTCACGCCTGTTGTCCCAGCACTTTGGGAGGCTTACGTGGAAGGATCACTTGAGGCTAGGAGTTCGAGACCAGCCTGGGCAACATAGCAAGACCTCATCTCTACAAAAATAAAAAAAAAATTAGCCAGGCGTGATGGTGTGCTACTGTTGTCTCAGCAACTCGGAAAGCTGAAGTGGAAGGATCACCTGAGCCCAGGAGGTAGAGCCTGCAGTGAGCTCTGATCATGCCACTGCACTCCAACCTGGGTGACAGAGTGAGACCCTGACTCAAAAAAAAAAAAAAAAAAAAGAAGGAACAGCCAGGCGTGGTGGCTCATGCCTGTAATCCCAGAACTTTGGGAGGCAGAGGCGAGAGGTTCGCCTGGGCCCAGGGATACAAGACCAGCCTGGGCAACTTGGCGAGACCTCATCTCTACAATAAATTAAAAAATTAGCCGGGCGTGGTGACTCACGCCTGTAGTTCCAGCTACTTGGAAGGCTGAGGTGGAAGATCACCTAAGCCCAGCAGGTCAAGGCTGCGGTGGCCGTGAACATGCCACTGCACTCCAACCTAGGCAACAGAGTGAGACCCCGACTCAAAAAAAAAAAAAAAAGAAGAGAAGAGGAAACAAGGACAAAAGTCAAAGGACTCTGAAGGGGAAGAAGAGAATCTGGGTCTGGGAGATTTCTGGGTGTTTCGTCCTGTTCAGAAATGAAAACAGCACATCTGGGTTGTTACAAGTGATTTCTCCAGTGTCAGTGCTCAGATGATCGTGTGTGCAGCCTGTACCCACCCTCCTCCAAGGCTCTTGGTTCTGAGCTCAGTACCTGAGGGCAATTGCGACCTTCTCCCAGAGGAAGGGCCAGCTAGAGGGCTGGTGCGATGTGGTGGTGGTGGGGAGGTGGTTGAAAGGGATAGGAGGATGAAGTGCTCATTTCCTTAGAAAGCTGTAACTCTGGTCCCAACCTCCTGTGCCCAGGTTCAGAATGACCAGTGCCAGCCCAGTACAGACGACTACAGATGGATGAGGACCACAGAGAAAGGATGGGAGTTCCACAGCGTGAGTGTCACGCCAGCCTCTCCGGGAGACCCCAGGAAGGGACCGAGGGCCTTTCTCCAAGGGGTGCTCCCCTCCACCACCATGCCTATCTGAGTCTCCGCCCCTCCGAGGACAGGACAGGAGTCTGATTTGATGAGGATGTGGTAGTACTTTGGGAGGCCAAGGTGAGAGGATTGCCTAAGCCCGGGAGTTTGAGACCAGCCTGGGCAACAGAGTGAGACCTCGTCTATAAAAATAAAAAAAATTAGCCAGTCACGGTGGCATGCACCTGCAGTCCCAGCTACTTAGGAGGCTGAGATGGAAGAATCACCTGAGCCCAGGAAGTTGAGGATGTGGTGAGCCATGAGCGTGTCCCTGCACTCCAGCCTGGGCAACAGAGTGAGACCCCAACTCAAAAAGAAAGAAAGAAAGAAATGAGGTTTCTGGGGATTGGGAGTGTTTCCTGTAGAACCAGAGAAGAATGAGGGGACACTAGTCACCCGTCCGTCAGTCCCCTTGGGTCCCTTTGCTGGTCTCGCCTTTAAGAACCGCGTGTTATATGTGATGGAGAGAGCAGTGGGAGGATTGTCAGAAGAGGCTTCGGAAAAAAGCAGAGCTAAGCTAAGCTGAGAGGAAGGGCGAAGCTGAGGAAGAAGAGGGAGAAGGTCAGAACAGGGACTACCTTGCTGGCTGTCGAAGGAGAGATCTCAAGAGACCTGGCGGGCCGATGAGTGCCATCCGTCCCTGCGATGAACTAATGCTCCGTTTGTGGCTTTTAGGTAGAACTCAATCGAGGCAATAATGTCCTCTACTGGAGAACCACGGCCTTCTCAGTGTGGTCACGGGCCCCCAAGCCCGTGCTGGTGAGGAACATCGCCATCACAGGTACCAAGGACGGGTCGGCGCCGGGGCTGTCGCTGACTTCGGGCCTGTGGACTTTGAGGGAGGGGTGGGAGTCCGTCCCCGGGGCCCTCAGTCTCCAAACTTCACCCCTGCTCATCCACACTGTTCTTCCTCCCCAGGGGTGGCCTACACCTCGGAATGTTTCCCCTGCAAACCCGGCACGCACGCGGCCAAGCAGGGCTCCTCTTTCTGCAAGCTTTGCCCAGCCAACACTTATTCAAACAAAGGAGAAACTTCTTGCCACCAGTGTGACCCTGACAAGTACTCAGGTGATGTTTCTCTGGGCGGGAAGAGTTTGGGGGTGGGGGTGCCCACAAACATGCAGGGAGAAAACAGAAAGTAGAGCCTTCCTCCTGACCAAGCTGAGGACGGTCAAGCCTGGGACCTTCCTTCCCGGCTCCCAGAAGACCCTTGCCAATCCATATTCCCACTAATCGCTCTGCAAATAAAAATGAAATCATTCCATAAATATTTACTGAGCCTCTCCTACCTGCCAGGCCCTATTCAGTGTGCTTGGAATATGTCAGCGAACAAAACAAAGGTCCCTGTCTTATGGAGTTTACCTTCCAGAGGGGGAAAGACAGACAATAAGCAATAACTGTAAGAAAATATATAATAAATCTGTAATATATTAGAGGATAAAAAGTGCCATGGTGTTGTGGCAAAAAAACAAAACAAAACACGAAAACAAAAAGCAGACAGGCACAGTGGCTCATGCCTAGAATCCCAGCACTTTGGGAGGCTGAAGTGGGAGGCTTGCTTGAGGCCAGGGGTTGGAGACCATCCTGGGCAACATAGCAGGACCTCATCTCTACAAAAATAATTAAACATAAATTAGCTGAGCGTGATGGCATGTGCCTGTAGTCCCAGCAACTCAGGAGGCTGAGGTGGAAGGATCGTCTGATCCTAGGAAGTTGAGCTGCTATTATGTCACTGCACTGCAGCCTGGGAGACAAAGTGAGACTCTGACTCAGAAAGAGAGTGAGAAAGAAAGCAAGAAAGAGCAGCTCAGAGTTAGAGTGATTAGGAACACTAGGGAAAGGGATTACGATCTTTTTTTAAAGCAGTGAAACTTTAAAGCAGTGAAATGAAATTTTATATATTAGAAAATTACTGTTATAACAGACACAATAGATATAGGAGGTATACATTTATACATTTTAATTTATAACAATTATTATCAAAGTTAATTTATAGGAACTGTGAGGCTGTATTGATAAGTGTAAACCATTTGATAACAAAATCTAAAGCTGAAAGTTACGATTTTTTTTAGCCCGACTCACTAAATTGAATTTGGAGCAGGCATTTTTGACAATCCATGGTTCCTTAGAACACAGTTGGAAAACCACTGCGCTACTGGCAAGTGAGGCAACCGCTGAAACAGCCTATTTTTACAGCTCCCAAATAACTTCCTATAGCACCCCGTCTGAGAAACAGGACCTGGTCATTTGAGGGGCTCCCAGGGGACGGCAAGGCTGTGGTAAGGCATGGGCGGTGCCACCAGAGGGCGCTCAGCAGTTCAGACTGTCCGGTGACAGCAGCAGGGTTGGTGGGGGGATGCTGGGGCATCCTTCTCCAGGACATATTCTGAAACAAGGGAGAGAAAAACAGACCCCCAGAAGCGTCATAACTAGTCTGTGTTTCTTTCTTTCTTTTTTTGAGTTGGATTCTCACTCTGTCGCCCAGGCTGGAGTGCAGTGTCACACTCACAGCCACCCCAGTGTCGACCTGCTGGGCTCCGGTGAGCCTTCTGCCTCAGCCTTCCGAGTAATCAGAACTACAGGCGCGCTTTCCCACACCCCGCTAATTTTTTATTTATTGTAGAGACGATGTCTGCCAAGTTGTCTGGGCTGGTCTCGAACCCGCGGGCTCAGGCAATCCGCTCGCCTTGGCCTCCCAAAGTGCTGGGATTACAGGCTGAACCACCAAGCCCGGCCATCTGTGTTTCCTTTCTTACACAGAACCCCGTGCAAGCCCAGCACAAGGCCCTCCCTCGAGCAGACCCCCATGGCCCTGCCTAGACACACCCACACCCTCGCAGCTGTTTTAGTGTGTGTTTTCTCAGCAGAACCTGGCTGTTGACCTTGTGAACGGCTTATTTCGACACCATTCCTAAAACAAAAGCCCTATGTAGCCCCCAGATCTTGCCTCTCAGCCAGAACAGAAGTGTTTAGAACCTGGGGAAGTTTTCAATCTATAAGTACAGACTCCTGTTTTTCCACGTGAGTTTCCTTTTTCTTTCTCTCTTTTATTTTTTTTTTGAGGGGGGGTCTTTGTCCAGCTCAGGCTGGAGTGCAGTGGCACACTCATGGAGGCTGAGGTGGGAGGATTGCTTATGCCCAGAAGGTCGAGGCTGCGGTGAGCCGTGATGGTGCCACTGCACTCCAGCCTGGGCTACAAAGTGAGACACTGACTCCAAAAAAAAAAAGATGAAATGTGCATGAAGGGAGTGAAAGAAAATCCATCCATTTACAAATATATTCTGAGTGTCTGCCAGATGCCAAGGACTGGGCTTGATGCTAGGGTTAGAGCGGGTGCCTGTCCTTCAGCTTATGTCAAAAAGTGAAAACACGGTTATATAAACACCCAAGTGCAGTAACTCTCCATGGTCCAGTAGATGTTGGGTTAGGAGCACTGGGTGTAGCAGGCAGGGAGGCAGAAAAGAGAAGTGTTTGGTCCGCTGGGAAGGGAGGAAGGGCTCCACTGTTCCACTTGAAAGATGAAGGGGTGATTTGATGGGGGTGGGACATTTGGGATAAAGTGTAAGTCAAGGCCAGAAGGCTCAGGGAACTGTGGTAACTCAGCCTGGCTGGAGATTAGTCGGAGGGAAGGACCCAACGTCAAAGATGGGCAGGAAACAGATTATGGAGCAGGCTTTCTGGGCTCTTGTGGAAACAAAAAAAATTGGGATTTCGTCCTATCAGCAGTGGAGGTCATTAAAAAATGTTAAGGCTGGGCACAATGGCTCACCTATAATCCCAGCACTTTGGGAGGCCAAGGCGGGAGGACTGCTTGATCCCAGGAGTTTGAGACCAGTCTAGGCAACATAGTGAGACCCCATCTATAGAAAAATCAGAGCTGGGCTTGGTGGCTCAGCCTGTAATCCCGCACTTTCGGAGGCTGAGGTGAGTGGATTGCCTGAGTCCGCAGGTTCGAGACCCGCCTGGGCAACTTGGCGAGACCTCATCTCTACAATAAATCAAAAAGTTAACCGGCATAGTAGTGTTCACCTGTATTTCCAGCTACTTGAAAGGCTGAGGTGGAAGGATCGCCAGAGCCCAGCAGGTCCAGGCTGCAGTGGCCGGGAGCGGCCACTGCACTCCAGTCTGGGTGACAGA